AATCCATTGTGGTGGTGTATAGAGCCAAAGATGTTAGAATTGTGTCGATGTCCCAATATTTCTGGACCTGACTGTACCTGGCAACTCTAGAATAAAAAACAATGGGAAAGTGTTGGGGAGGGACCACTCTGCATGGGAGTGACTACCTGCTCCCTTCCGGTTCTCCCTCCTCCCCACCTGGCAGCCTGCCTCTTGCCTGGGTGCCAGCTTTCCCCAACCTTGCTGTGCTCCAGAGTTCACCTCCCTGAATTCTCAGCCATGGCCATGCTGGTGGGGGGATTCTGGGAATTGGTTCACACATCTGGAGCAGCACCCGGATCGGAGGCGGCTGGAAGGTGCGATGGCCCACCTTGTGAAAACAGACTGTGGTGGGGATTGCGTTGGCACCGTCCCCCCGTGGAGCCTTAGCAGTGCGGTGCTGGAATGGCGAAGGAGTAGAGGTAGCCTCTAGAGGGGCTGCCTTGAGTCTTTTCTTCAGCTGAACCAGCGTTTCTCAAACTTGGCAACTTTGTGGACGTCAACTTTGTTGGCATCTTCCCTCTTGACCACCCCCCCACCCGACCCAAACCTGTTTGTCAGAGATAGAACTCTGTCCCTGTTCCCGCGGGCAGGAAGAGTCCAAGGAGGGTTGTCATTTGATATCCACTTGCTGAGAAGGAAAGAGGGAGGATGTCCTTCGGTGGACCTGGGCTCCAGGTGACTTCATGGATGCAGTCATGCAGCTTGTCTTGGCCAAAATATGAACGTGGCTTGCCACTGTAGTCTTCTGAGATCCTTAAGCTTGCAGGCCTGTGATTTCCTGGTGGTGCTTCCATCCCAGGACTAACACAGCCTGACCCTGCTTAGATTTCTCAGATCTGCCGCAGTCAGATGCCACCACCACCACCAGATGCCACTGCTAGGCTTGAAGATAAAAACTCAAGTCAAACGCAGCTTCCGGTGTCTCCAGTGGGCACATGTGTGCAGTTTCTTGGCAGCAACATGGGAATAATGCTACTGTTTTCTGACTTCTCAGTCTAGCCTACGGCTTGGGCTCCCCTCCAAATATTTTCCAAGCCCAACCCAGCTTAGCTTTTTCGAGGTCAGCCCAGGCTGCCCCCTGAATCCATATGCAAGTTTACAATGGCAAATAGCAGAACGCTCCCCTTTCGTGACCCCCTGCAACTGACTGCCTTGTTTGCTGGGGGCCTGGACCAACGCTGCTGCTGCGGAGCCCAGCCAGATGGAGCGTGAGCTCCTTTGGCCTTTGCGGGACAGGAGCTGGCTCTGCTCGTCCTGGGCGGGATGGCGGGTTTTGCAAGGGGCCACAAGGGGGCAGCAGGAGGTGAAGGACGGCCGGAGGGGCTGCAGCTGGAAGACTGACAGGCTGATTATAACAGGTGTTCCTGCATTTTGGGGACGCGGGAAGGGTTACCCTCATAAATGCAGTTGAGGTCAGTGCAATGAGGTTAAGTGCCAGTGAAAGGCCAGAAGTAGAGGCACGGGTTCAGGGAAGGCTCACGCTGCCTCCCATCACCCAGGATGTTCGCACTGTTTGCGCTGTGGCCGGGCAGAAGGCTGCTCTTCCTGCGCAGGATCCCCCGAAGGGCCATCGAATTGAGCCTCCGTTCATCCTGAAGTCTCCCGGGAGGAGGGGCGGCAGCGCCTGAGGCCATTCGCCCCAGAATCTGGAATGGCGGTCATTTTGATTTCTGCTTTCGGGTTCTACCCATGTTTTGCCCCCCAACTATCGGCTCTGGGTGCGTCTTCCCTGCTCTCCCCCCACGCCAGCACCTCCCATTTTTTGTTGCGGAAGAGAGGATGGTTGATCAGACCAAAGGAAAGGAGCTGCCATGAGGCTGCTGCTTCTGGACCACCTTGGGGAGGGGGGCGGGATGGAGAAGGACCTTTGATGTGACCATTTCTAGACCTCCAGTCACTAACCGAGCCCAAGCAACACGATGTCCGGAGAATTGGACACGCAAACTTCCAGAGCTCAGAAGTCACCTCTTGTTTCAATTCTCCCAAGACATTTCACGCGCAGGTGGCCTCAGGCAGCAGCTTCTGTGCTTCTTCAGCACAGGGCCACATCCCCCGGAAACAGACTCATAAACTAAGGGTCTCTTCTGTGGCGAGGCCGTTCCTTTGGGTCGGCCCCTCTGTTGCGGTTTGCTCATGTATGCCCTGGGTCAGGAGATAAATATGGTTAAATAAATAAATGAAACAAGTAATGCCCCGAGAGAGGGAAATAGAGCCTGGCCCTCGGGGAACACCCTCATGGCTTTGGTTCCGCCTGTTTTCTGAATATTGCGGATGGCAACTGCCCCCTTTGGGCCCTTCCCTCCAGAGCGGAGACCACCAGGTGGGTCCTTCCTCCCCTGCATCGGACGTCAATGCTCCCGTGGTCAGAGAAGGGCCAGACGCCCACCAGGGCTCCCGCCGTGTCCCTTCCAGCCTCAGCAGCGCTCGGACATGGCCACAGAGGGACCTTTCTGGCCACATCTGGGAGGGAGGCTTTCAGCTCCAATGTGGGGGGTGGGCTTGGGTGGCAGGGAGGGCAGAAGCTATTTTCTGTTTTTCTGTGCACGCATCTGCCTGTCTAATCCGAAGCAAAGCTGAACTCCGGGCGACTTCCGTGTAGCCTTCCTGGCAACCGCATAGAAGTGCGCGCTGCCTGCTTCGAGACGCTTTTTCGACTTTCTGATCTAGCCCCCCCACCAACCTGGGATTCCCTAGTGGTCTCCCCTCCCAGGGAGGCACCGACTCGCCTCTGCTTTGCTGTTGGAGATCAGCCCAGGCCAGCAAGCTGTCAAGCCAGGCAGTCAGCAGCGGCCCCTGGGGGGCAGCAGGGTCCTGCTTTGGGAGGGTCCCTTTATGGGGAGGAAACCCCTGGCC